CTAAGGCGTGCGACATTTTGCACCCCTGAAAATTGGCCTTTTGTGTCTTCAAACACCGTTTTGAAAATTATCCATTCACCCGGGTCTCCATCGAACACCGGTAATTCCTGGAGGAAATGAAGCTGGGAAGATTTATCTTTACCAGCTATTTTTATTGCACTCACAATCGCTTCGGTCAATTCTGACACCTCACTCGCGTGTGTTTTCTGTGCATTTCCTAGGTTGCGCTCGACCTCCGCCCCTTTGCGGCGTGATCCTTTACACGCTTCCTTATCAGTAATATCGGGTTGTGCTACACTAACCGGCGCGCTCATTATGGTTTGCTGAACCCAACTCCTTACGAAAGGTTCCACCTGAGTATTCCGCTCTTCATCATCCTCACTCGAGTCGATTTCCTCTTCTCGGTTGAGTCGTGCCAACTCCAATTGAGACTTGGCTAAGGCAGCAGCTGCCTGTGCTCGTTCGAGCTCTGAGCGTTCGAATTTAATCCGCGCCTCTAATTCGGCTTTCAGCCTCGCCGATCGCGATGACCTACTACCTCTCTGTGACCCTTTATCACTAGTGTGCCCGATTACTGTCCTTGACGATGCCGCTTCTTCGGTCCTTTGACCTACTTTTTCGACCACCGTTTCACTCCTGGATATAACGGATTGTTGTGCGGTGCTGGCCTGTGTACCACTGGTGTCCGTCCGGTTGCTTGTCGTTGCCATGGACGTCCCTGAGTCCCACGTGCATGTGGACGTGTCTGTGGTGGCTCCACTTGGAGGAGTTGCTCCATTTGACGCAGTAGCTGTGGTCGCTCCAGATGATTCCGCTTCTTTAGCTTTTCTTGAGAGCCCTGTCCTTGTCCTGCTCCCTTCGCTTCTCCCTGTCTGGTCTTGTGCCTTCTTCATCTTGCAGGAAGGTGATTGTTGGCCTACGGTCCCTAACTGTCCCTACAGTCCCTACTTAACCCCTTACCTACAACCCTTCTACACCCCAACCTAACACCACTACCCCTCCCCCCTTTATCTCCCAACCCTACAACCCTACTACCACCCTAACAGCCCTATCAGCCCTATCAATCCTGAACGGGGCCTACCGAGGTGAGCCGTCCAGGGATGGAGTCGTGCAGGAATGGAATGGAGGAAAGGTTTAGGAACTGTCCCGCCAAGGAATATGACGAAACAGTCGAGCGGTAGTGCAAGCGCAGTCTCGCTCGAGAGAACTGCTCCACCCGAAGGTGTTATGCCAGAGCCCAACCGTTTGGCACCGTTAGGTGGTCGGGATGTATGCTGTGCTCGCCGCCCAGTTGCCGGTGACGCCTCGTCCAAGCGCCCTCCTCCGGCCGCGATGCAGTCAGGTGCCCACGCGCACCCTCGCCCGGCAGCAGCAGCGGTGGATGCTTTTTGCACCCTGATGACCCGACGGGAAATGCCGGACACGGTCGTCCGACAGGAAATGCCAGACACGATCGTCTGACAGGAAATGCCAGCACGATTGTCTGACAGGAAATGCCGAGCACGCTTGCCCGACAGGAAAAATGCCAAGCCCTGCTTGGCCACGATGAGTGCCTTCACAAGACACTTGCGCCCGGCTGCGATATGTGCCCCATGCGAGCACACGCCCCAAGCTGCAATCCCGGTTTTCTTTCTTCCGGTAGTTCCAGGTCCAGCCCTTCAGTGCTGCCGTCCTGGTCTTCAGGCCTTTGGTCCTATTGCTTCAGCTCAAACCTCTGGCTTCCTTCGGTTGCTGATCTTCACTCGGCTTCCGAAGGTCTTCTTCTTCCACAACCAGCAGTCCACAGCTGGTTCCTTGATCCAGCTGGCGGGGTTCGGGTGGTCTTCAATCCGGCTCCCGAAGGTCCAATTGAAAAGGACCAGGTCGGTGTCCCTCTTGATCCTGAAAAGGACCAATTGAAAAGGACCTAGCGGATCGGGTACTAAGAAACAGGAATCGAGGCTTCTCTCGATCCGGCCTCCTATCACGCCTACGTTGGGTTCGGGAACAACGTATGTGATCTCCGCAACGGAGTAACACACTAGGGCGATAACCTCTTCCTTTTCAGCAAGTAGGTTCAGACGGGGATTACGGGTCTTCCGAAGTCGTCCCGGTCCCGACGCCTTAATTCTTCGATGTGGACTGTATAACTTAAAGGATCTTGGGAATGAAACAGCAATTATCTTCAAACCGTTCCGTGAGAGAGTAATCACTTTTCCCTATACTGCTGGTTTTTCACTTTTCTTGAACTTTTTCCCGGATTTTCTTATTTATTTCCGAACTATTTCCTTGAATATTTCCCGAACGATTTCCTTGAATATTTCCCGAACGATTCCCGAACGATTTCCGATATTTCCCGAACCATTCCCGAACATTCCCGAAATTTCCCGAACCATTCCCGAAGGATTCCCGAACGATTCCCGAACGAATTGCAATAAAATCAATTTACTATCCTACCCCTAAGCTAAACGCGAAAGTGAGCCGCGCCATCTGCGCGCTTGCGCAACTTAATTACATGAATTTGTACTATTACTCTCTCACGTTTCACTCAATATCTTTATTTATTCAAATCATATACAAATACAATTTATCAATATAGGTAGTACAAAACAATATCTACACCATGATATACATCATATCTTCATATCATAAAAAACCTTTTATTTATTAAACGAAAACTGCCTATTTTACTCACAAGTTCGAAATCGAAATTTCTTAAATATTTAACACAGAAAGTTAAAACAATGTTTCTCACTTGAATTTATACATAAGCTAACCAATACAATAGTTTAATTTACATTTTTTCTATTTATTTCACTATTTAAAACACTTTTAAATTTCTTATACAAAACTATCATTATTTCACTTATACACAGGAATTTTCACATGAAAATAACACAGAATTTACCTTTTTAGCACGTACAATTAACCTGAAATATTTTACAAGTAATTTTTACATAAATCACTGAATTACAAACATTTTAAATTTTTACATATTCGGCCTCCTAAGGGCGTGGCCAGCGTGCTTCCGTGTACTCACGCTATTTGAACAACTAACTTTGCACGGCTCTCGGCTATCAGAAAAAATTAAATTATGAAATACACCAATTTTGACCATATTAGGCAAATTAAATGCTTTTATACAATTTTCGAACTGTATGAAACTATCTTTAATCAGATTTTATCAACAATATAAATGAATGTTCTCATTAATCAATCATAACAAATAGGCATTTGTTTTCGTACAAAACGTATCAAACTTATACAAAACAACATTTATGCAATTAATATCCATTAATTCTGCCTATGCACAGAGTGATTATCTCGACCGGGGAACAAATCCGATCTTTAACTTCACTTTAATATTCTTATGAATTTACATCATTTGAAAGATGATTTCAACCGGGGAACAAATCCGGTAACATAATTTATATCTTAAATTCCTTACGAATTTATTAAGCGATATTACTTAGGAAAACAAACAAACTAGTCCGGCCTGGGAGTCGAACCCAAGACCTTCATATCATTAATTCGACATTTCTTAAAGATTTAACTAAGCATTCTCTTATCAGAGCGTCGTTGCTCGTGACTGCCCCTTTTTTCATAGCAACGTCATCGGTTGATTTAATAAACTGAAACATTTTTATAGGCGCGTCGCCAACAGATGGCATGCGTGAGACTTGTACTATCAAAAAACTCCGTAATAAGATTCTTGCTGTATTGTCCGCCATTTCAATCAAATTCAAACAAAACAATCGTTTCTACAAAACCGCGCGTGTAAATTGTTTGAAGCGCACAAACTTGAACCCATAACTTAGGTATGAGAGGGTGCGCGAGCAGGTGGCGCGCGAGTGCATTCTCGGTCTCCTATTCTTTCTTTATATGCGCGATCTTTCCCGCGCGAAAGCCGATTCATCGTTAAAGAGTATATGTGTAAAGGCGGCTAATTACAAACATGCGACACGCGACGGCATTATTAATGAAAGAGTGGCAATGGGAAGTGCTACTATTTTCAATCTCTTTCTTTTATCGACCAAGTGCTTAACCAATAACCAGTATATGCTGATCTTGCATTACTAGGCAGTAACTAGTACTGGGAGATATACTTACACTGAACGATTATTTATTATTTATACGCAAAAATATGGACAACTGCGAAGTTGTGGTGGGGTCGCTAGTCAAATAATAAATCTGTAATTATGGAGCCAGTAATTAGGTACCTTATTATCTAGATATACCTATAAATATTAATATCTTAAATTTCGGTATACCTAGGAACAGTAAAGAATGAAAAGTCGATGTTTCTATTGTTATTTAAGCACCCGTATGATATGCAGCACCTTTTGGCTTTTTGAGTGGCCATGCTTGAATAAGAACTCAAAAATGAATATCAAAAGTGCCTAAATACTTATAACAGAAAAATACTTTTTGTTAACGTAAGGCGCGCGTTAGCACGAGCGCGCGAGTGGCAACTTCACTAAATCAAGACCATGTAGGCGGCTGCGCATCGTAGGTATATCTTCATGCCTAAAGCGCGAAGTGAGACCGGCTTGTTATTACTACCCACTGCATCCTTGCGATGCTATTGTAATGAAACCTCTTTTACAGTAAAAAGGGTGTCCGGTTCTCTTCACTCACCATACGAAACACAGCAGCGTTAAGCTGCTACTTTACGCTGTTATTTTGTGAGAGCATAGTTCTTCCCCGGTCGAGCCGAACCATTCGTGCTACAACTAAACCACTAATATAGTTGCAGCATGGCTCTAACACGTAATGCATAGCTCTACCATGTAATAGCATGGCTCTACCACGTAATAGCATGGCTCTACCACGTAATAGCATGGCTCTACCACGTAATAGCATGGCTCTACCACGCAATAAGTTAATTTAGTAGTAGGTTAGTTAATTCAGTTGAAAAGCTAAAATACAGCGTTTGGTTAGAACTACTAAATGCACACATAAAAAATTTACTTTAGTAGGCATAACAACACAGACGACAGTCTTTAGAAAAAAAATATTACCTCGTCGTAAAATCATATGACACGGCCGCTATAACTGAAGGCGCGTGCGGAGAGAATTGAACCCTTCTTACTGCACACTCGCAACCTGTAAATGACAACGGTCAAGAAAAAATTTACATAAATTTAAATGTTAAATATATTTTAGGCATATTAATGATGTTTTATTTTTAAATAATCTTAAGACTTACAATTATTTCGTTAATAAATTTACAATATTTTTATTTATTATCTAATATGGCAGTAATTGATGAAATATATAGGATTATGTGCCTCACATACTAACAACTTCAATGAACGTTTGAAATAGAAATAGAAACTTTTTTATTCAATGTAGATTGTAAAAATACTTATTGAAAGTCACTTTTTTAATTTACCACTGGTTCGCAAAAAAAACCTCTGTCCTGGGAAGAACCAGCAAGAAACCCAGCGGGACTATTTTTTTTTAATAATAGCTTACAATCATGTTTACAGTCAACAACACAAGACAAATTAGAAATAGCTTGGTAGCGATCACCCTTCCCAGAGGTTATTGTCATCTATAAATTCCTTAATATTATAATAGCCCTTTTTATACAAACTTAGTTTAATAACATTTTTGAACTTTGTTCGCAAGTTACTGGCGGCTTAAAGTAATTCTATGACGTCAATACTACTATATTATGTATACACCATTCAAGTGATTCAATCAGATTTATCTGTCGATCCCACCGTGTTGTATCGGTGTAAGAATATCCACGAGTCCATAGCGTCCCGTGGGTGTCGCAGGAGTCGACAGAAGGAAACAGAACATGGGCAGCAGCATGTTCCTAATAACAACTCAAAGTAAATGTTATCGGAATGTGCCATATCAAAGGAAAAGGAAGATTTTGGTGCAAAAATTTTATATTAATTTGTGTGAAACGGGTTGGTTTTTGAGTATACTTACGGAGTCACACTCAGCAGTAGCAAAATAATTTCCATATTCTTTTCCTTTTATAGAATAATTGTGACAAACGCAGTACAGTCCACCTGATGGTAAGTGGATGCTGTGGTCCATAGACATCCACATTTATCCTCGTTTAAGAATCAAAATGCAGATGCGTTGTCACCCTTGAGGTCTAAGATGGAATCTTACCCCAATGATTCCCCCTTTCTAAATACCTAAAATACCTACTTAACATGTGTGTAATAGGAACAAGGTGTGTTATGATAAGGCCGACATATCCTTGTAGGATAAAACACAACGGCGTTGAGCTGCTATTTTACGCTCGTATTCTGTGAAAGCGTGGACCTTCCTATAAAAAAAAACATAATGGTGAAATAGTCATTACTACCTTTGAGTGTGAACATCGGTGTAGTCAGTCTTCTAAGGTCCCAGCCTCTAATCAAGCCGTCAGATCCCGCCGTGGCCAAGGCATGACTCTCCGTTCTGCTCCAATCACACGACAGGACCTGCAAAATTTATGATAGATATAATAGATTACAATTCATGGTCAGTGCACTAAGCTATTAGGTTCTGGGGGCCTTGTATGATTTCACTAAATGGATCGGATACGAAGATCGTTCCGAAGTAACAGTAACAGTAACTTAAACATAACCTTGATTGTAACAAGAAGATATTATATATTTTTCGTGATTCTTTGAGATTAATACTTTATACAGAAACAAGTCACATGTATGTATCTTATAATAATTTATTTTATTAGAATTTCAAGTTATAGTTCATCAATTACTAATAAAAAATTATTATTAGTGTTATTAATATATTTTATTAGTAATCGATGTTATAGTTACTAAAATCAAATGTAATTGTATTTCGCATACCTATTTATTGTACACCAAATTTTTATAATAATTAGTTTGTAATAATTAGAAAATGTAACTACTAAATATGGATTAGATTTAGGTATTTATCTATAAAAATATTTCAATACTTCCCTAATTTGTGATAAATTATAAAATAATTAACTTTTCAGAATTAATACTACAAAATAAAGTAAAAACAGAAGCATGACCTGCATTCATTTCCATTATCATTATTATAAAAATAAAAACAATATTTTGTATCAGATTATTTTACTTCTGCATAAATTGAAAGGTTTTAACTTTTAACATAAACGGTACTTCATGATTTAATTTACAATGTTTCTGCTAATTATAACGGTTTCATTTTAAGTTTTCAGTTTAGAGCCCGTTTTAGCCATCATACTATAAAAGACCATACAAAATCTATTGTACAAGTGTTATAGAGATTGCTCCAATGTATTAATTAGAATCGAACGAGGACCCGGAACGTAGAAGCCTAATACTTTGATCACTAGACCATGTAGGTGATGAATTTTGATTTCCTGGGTTACAAAATTAAGTAGCCTGTAACTATTAAATTTGAATGGAAAAGAAGAATAAGAGAACATTACGACATTTTGTCTCGTGAATATCATAAGAGGCAACTATGGGTTGCGCCAAAAAGATCTTATGCCTTCCGACAGATGACGGTATAAGCATATCGATTACTTTAGATGTAAATATTCAGACCGGTGGCGGGAAGCAGCCTCAAAGGCGCTAAACGACTTGTACTAAAATTGGCAATCCGCCTGCCAAGTGTGATAGATATTTTTTTTATAAAATTAAAATGACGAACTAAGGCCTGGTTTACATTTTTAGAAGTCTAAAGATATTAATACTTACTTTGCAACCATCCGATGTTGTTGAGTATGTTTGCAAAGTAACTATTAATATCTTTAGTCTAATTGATTTCCGCAAAGTAACGCCTGATTCTATTAATTATTTTGAGAAGTGACAAGTGCGAGTTGCAAGTGCAAAGTGCGAATTTTATTCACACTTGTCATTGCCTGCTCACACGCACTAAGCACAGCAGTGATAAGTGGAAACAAGATACGCACTTGTCACTTCTCACTTGCTACTTCTCACTTACCACTTGCACTTGTCACTTCTCAAAATGTAAAAGTGGGTGTTACACCCGGTTTAATGCGAATATCATTCACACTTATTACATGTCACTGCCTGTTCACACGCACTAAGCACTTGTCATTTGTCAGTTGGACTTGCAACTCGCACTTGTCACTTCTCAAAATGTAAACCGGGCCTAACAGTCCACGTCAACGTAAGCGCCTAATTCAGCCCGTGCACGCCTGTAGCCAACTTAAAATAAAGAAGGCTACAGTTGCGTTGTCACCCTGATGACTACGAGTAAGATGGAATGCCTCACAGCGTGTATTTATAGTGGCTCTTTATACCCGGATATAAACTGGAACACAGCATTGCACGCACTTCTATTAGGTGGCAGTTGTTGATAAGAGGGTGACACGGACAACGGACTCCTAACCAGAAAAGGAGTCAAACAAATCCTCACAACGGGTTAAGCCTACATCCAGCAGTGAAATATTATAGGCTGATTAAAGAAGATATTTATTACGTGATATTTTATACGTGTTAGAGCCATGCTGCAGTTATATTAGTAGTATAGTTGTAGCACGAATGGGTCGGCTCGACGGAAGGACCACGCTCTCACAGAATACCAGCGTAAAATAGTAGCTTAATGCTGCTGTGTTTCGTATGGTGAGTGCAGTGAAACAGAGACCCTTTTTACTGGAAACGAAGCATTCCATCTTACTTCTCATCGGTGACAACGCATCTGCATTTTGATTTGTAATCGAGGATAGATATATGTCTATGGGCCACAGTAAGTATTTACCATCAGGTGGACTGTGTGCTCGTTTGTTATCCCATCGTATAAAAAAGATGAAATTTGTGTCACAATTACCTCAGCATCATGCGCTTTCACGGCAGCAGCCGGTCTCGCCGGTTCCGTACACGTCCAGAGTTTGAGATGTCCATCGCCGGACACCGAGGCAAATGTCGCCGGCGAGTGTGGAGAGAAAGCCGCGGTGTATACGAGCTGCGAGTGGCCCGAGAACGTGCTGAGACACGCCTCTGATTCAGGATCCCACTGGATTGTACATAATTATTATAAACCAATTAATATATTATGGAGATAATTATCAAACATGTTCACTGGTAGAGTCACGCTGCAGCTTTATTACAGTTCTAGCACAAATGGACCAAAAAAGGTCGGCTCGACCGGGGAAGGTCCACACTCTGACAAAATACCAGCATAAAATAGCAACTTAATGTTGCTGTATTTCGTATGGTGAGTGTAGAGAACCGGAGACCCTTTTTACTGGAGACGAGGCATTCCACCTTAGTCCTGACGGGTGACAACCCATCTGCATTTTGATTCTTAATCTAGGATAGATGTAGATGTCTACGGGCTACAGCATGCACTTATCACTTCATTTATCAACATCATATGCTATTAAAAAAAAATCAAGAACCACAACAAAATATTTATTTTATCAATACAGAGATTTCGCAAAAAAATTCAAAGCTTTTTAGCTAAAAATATAACCTAGATCTATCTCTATCTGTTGCTTTAGTTTCATCGCAATTGGTTCAACCATACCGAAAATTAGCCAGGACGGAAAAACAGACAAACAAACAAAAAAAACAAAAATGGTTATTCAAGCCCATGCAAACAGCATCCTGAGCTCATCAAAAGGCATTTACGTCGATATTACAGACAGATACCTCAATTATATTTATATGTATAGATAACAAAGGAGCAAGATTATACTACCTATTGTATATTGTAAACTAGGGACAGTGTTCCCCGTAAATTTCACGAAACACGTATTATCACATTTCAAATACTTATAAATCGGAAAGCCGACCACAGATGGGAAAGAAAATATTTCTTTTCTACTCACCAACCTGACCTGTCAGCCCAGTGTGAGCATGGGCAAATTCTTCAGAAATCATTTGACGCATTCCAAACCTTCTTCAACGTCTTGTTAAGTTAAGAAGAGTTGAAAGTTAAGAAGAGCAAGACAATGAGTATAGGTCTACGTTTAAGATTGCATCCAACCACTTCTACGAACATTGTCCGAACTTGGATGCCCGCAGTGGAAAGTCTGGTTTACTATCCATAACGCGGGCCTATACGTATATCACTACACGCCAGTACAAGTTATCGAAGAAGGAGATCCTTTGAGGAGATTTGCAGAGATCCTTCGATTTCTGCAAATTCATGATGAATGTAGATTTAAAAAATTTACTGAGAAATATCTTATGGACAGATGAGTCCAGATTTGATAAAGATGGTATAACCAATTACCGCAACGCTCTTTATTGGGCCCCGAAAGAACAGGTAAAAGTTCACCCCTGGACGCACACATATACACCAAAATCCATATTTTTGTTTGCAGATGATATTAGATCATACAAATGCGTGAGTACGTGTTCTTACAATAAAATGTACAAGGTTTTAGCTTGATTCCGGCGTCACTTGACATATACGCAGCGCTCCGTCTATCTTCCTTTTTGGTCTAAAATAAAAAAGACGATATTACTCACCAATTTAACTGTGGTATCCCAGCTAGCACTCAGCAGATGCGCACGAGGCCAATCAACTGAGCAAACTTCGCTGCGATGCGCGCGTAAAACGCGCAAAGGTGCCGCGCAGCCGCCACGCCACACTACCACAGCGCCATCGCCGGCACCGCAGGCTGCCACACCGTCACCAGTGCCCGACCACGTCTGCCACAAACAGACAATCTATGTGACCCCATTGATACTTCAAACTCGTAATTCTAATGTCATGTGATGACGGCGGAAAATAAATATCACACTATTTATTATTATATATATTTCGTCGTTTCGATTTCATAAGAGGCGACTATGGGAAGACAGTGGAAAATGCTATAATAATCTCACGGATTCACATAGATGGCGTTATTATAACCAGCTCGTTTACGCCAAATATTTAACCAAGTAATACTAATAATCATTCTGCTTACACCAGCCGTATGACCAAATAATACTAACACCGGCGACGACCTGCCAGACCTCTGGTAGGTACTACGGCCTACAATTCACCTGCCAAGAGTGATAATCAAGACAAATCATCCCCAAAAACGTATGAGGACCATGTAAAACAGTGAGCTTTTGTGATTTGAAGAAGAAATAACATACAACGTACAAAAGTTTAAAAAAAAGAAAGAAAAAAATTCTATTTGTAAAGATTTTATACGAGGCAGTGGCAATGGGCCGACTATATTGCTCAAAAAAAACCGGCCAAGAGCGTGTTGAGCCACGCTCAGTGTAGGGTTCCGTAGTTTCCCGTCCTTCACAATAAGTGTTCCCACTTATGAGTGTAAAGGTGGGTATCCATTATGTTCGCGCTCCAGCAGCGCTCCGCGCTCCTGCAACTGCTCCCGGTAGTGGGTACGTGCGCGAACATGGAGCGCGCAACATTGCACGCTCCGCGACAGGCGATGCCAAGGAGAGACCAACCGAACAATTCGATAACCCGACCCAATGTAATAAGTACCTACAGCGCCATCTCTCAGGGAATTGGGTTACTAATTAATACATAGACGTGCCAGAAGTTTTCGGTGGTAATTTTGGATAATTTTTTAATAATTCTTTTTTTTGTTTGAAAAAAGATACGTTCAGGATAATAAAATATGTAAACGAAGTTAAAAAAAATTCCTGCTTATACGATTATACTACAAACTTAGTCCAGAAATTATTTTGGACAACTTTTTGTCTTTTTTGTACAAAAACTGTTTCCATCCAGGTTCAAAATAATTTTCCTAGAAAGTCCTTATAAAGTTCTACCTTTCAGATTTTTTTCATATTTTCTAAACCTATGGTTCAAAAGTTAGAGGGGGGGGGGGACACATTGTTTTTTACTTTTGGAGCGATTATTTCTGAAATTATTGACATTATCAAAAAATGATTGTAGTAAACCCCTATTCATTTTTAAATACCTTTCCAATAATATATCACACGTAAGGGTTGAAATTAAAAAAAAAATCACTTCCCACTTTACATATAGGGGGGCTACCCTAATAAAACATTTTTTTCCAATTTTTATTTTACCACTTTGTCGGCGTGATTGATACACATATTGGTACCAAATTTCAGCTTTCTAGTGCTAACGGTCACAGAGATTAAGCGAGGACGGACAGACGGACAGACAGACATGGCGAAACTATAAGGGTTCCTAGTTGACTACGGAACCCTAAAAAAAGGCAGCCAATGAGGAAAAAGAGGTTCTCGAGTGGCAGCCTCGTACCGGTAGGCGAAGTGTAGGCCGATTCCCCAATAGATGGAGTGACGACCTGGTAAAACATGCAGGAATTCGATAGATGCAGGTGGCTCAGGACCGTGCTTTGTAGCATTCCTTGGGGAAGACCTATGTTCAGCTGCAGATATATTATGGTTGTAGCTAGAATGGGTCGGCTCCACCGGGTAAGGACCACGCTCTCGCAGAATACCAGCGTAAAATAGCAGCTTAACACTGCTGCGTTTCGTATAGTGAGTATAGAGATCCGGAGACCCTTTTTTACTGGTAACGAGGCATTCCATCTTAGTCCTCAGGGGTGACAACGAATCTGCATTTTGATTCTTAATCGAGGATATATGTAGATGTCTTAGGGCCACAACATCCACTTACCATCAGGTGGACCATGTGCTCGTTTGTCTTCTGCACTTTTCTGTGTTTATTACATAATACCAAATTAACAAATGTACTCGTAGTCACAGTCTGATGGTATGTGACTACTGCTGAAACAAACTTCAAACAAATAAGGCTACATAAGCGTTGTCATCTCTCGGGAGTAAGATGGAACGCCTCACAGCCTATTCTATACTGGCTGTATAGAAAGCACTGCCTCTAATCAGTACTGTACCAACTGCTGTGTTCTATTTTGAAGAGTAAAAATGCCAGTATGACAAGCTACAAGGCATTTCATATTATTACTCGTTACAAAACATCCGCATCCTTTATTCGTTTGATATTGACGGCAGGTATCCATAGGCAGCAATAGCTACTTACCATGAAGTAAATTATAACTATAATTTTTTTTATTCGTCACAGTCTACTAAAGATTATTAACATTAAACAAGATATATGGTTAACGTTTTTTTATAGAATAAGGGTGACAAACGAGCACACAGTCCACCTGATGGTAAGTTCGTATTTGCCGTGGCCCATAGACATTTACGTATTTATCTTCGCTAATTAAGAATCAAAACGCAGTATGAGTTGACACCCATATTATCTGAGGTACTAAGATGTGAATCGCCTAGCGTTTCGAGTAAAATTAGGGGTCTCCGGATCTCTACACTCAGCATACAAAACTACAGACAGTATATAATCTGCTATTTTACTCTGGTATTCCGTGAGAGCATGGTCGTGCCGACCCATTCGTGCTACAACCATAATTAATATAGCTGCAGCGTGGCTCTGCCACGTATAAAACGTGCGGTATTCAGGGTTGGCAATGTTTAAAACGTTTGTTTAAAGCAAGTGTTTAAAACACTGGAAAAAATACATAACTGTTTATAACACGTTTTAAAACATTTTTTAACACGTTTAAAACATATATAAAAAAACGTTAAGTTTTACAACATTATAATTAATCCTGAGGGGTGGTACAAGTTGTTTCTTAAACGTCACCCCGAAATAGTACAAAGAACGGCTGAAGCTGTTATTTCGGCAAGTGCCAATGTATCAGAAGAGAACATCAAAAAATGGTTTCAGCAAATTGAAACTTGGTTAGAAGAAGAAGAATTCCTGCATATTCTACGAGATCCTAAACGTATTTTGAACGGCGATGAAACAAATTTCTTGTTATGTCCAAAAACCTCCAAAGTTTTAGCCCTAAAAGGTACTGGCGACGTGTATGAAGTGGATAACGCGCCTGCGAAATGTGGACTGACAGTGATGTTCACATTTTCGGCTACCGGAGTTATTACACCACCGATGATTATCTACCCACTCAAACGTAACAGAGCAGATATTACGACGTCTGTACCACCAGAATGGGGTATAGGTCTGTCATCAAATGGATGGATGAACAAAGATCTATTTTTACAATACATTAGTAATGTTTTACATCCATATCTTGTAAAAGAAAATACAAAATTCCCCATTCTTCTGTTTGTTGATGGACACAAAAGTCATATCAATTTTGAACTTAGCAAAGCATGCAAAGAAAGAGGTATAATACTTATAGCATTATACCCAAAGGCGACTCGCATCTTACAACCCGCAGATGTAGCTGCTTTTAAGCCGATAAAAAGTGCATGGAAAAAGGGAGTATGAGAATGGAGAAGGGAAAATACGACAAAAAATTTGACAAAAATTGATTTTTGGACCAATACCAAGCATAGTATTAAAGAAATATATAGACAAACAAATTATTATTAACGAATTTCGAGCTTGTGGATTGTATCCTTGGAATCCAAATGCAATTAACTACCGAAAATTCCTTGGCAAAAATGTGACCCAATCAACCAGAATTCAAGAAAACAAACCACAAAGGGCAATAACATTCACAGACTTTGAAAAAATCGTGGGACAAAACATCGTATCCCGTCTTACTTCTGAGACACCCGATAAATCAAATTGTTTTTACAAAGCATTAAAAGACATATACGACCATTTGAAAGGCAAAGATATAGAACAGGAAGACAGTACTATTTCAAGCGATTATTTAGTAATTGAAAATGAATTGATGGCAATAAATGACATACCGATCGTAATTTCAAACTCCAATAATATTGAAGAATCTCATACAGACACTATTGAAACTGAAACTACAGAGAATACTGAATTACTTACAACAGACTTATTTGACGATTTGGAGACACTAAACCTAATAGAGTCCTTCAATTTGTCAGCAGATATTCGGAATAATATTGAAATGAATAATAATTACAAACAGAGCCAACTTATAGCGAATTCAGATTCAGACACTCAAAATTACTTAAAAAATGAAATATTAAATGTTCTGGAACCTACCAGTGATAATGTCGTTAAAGGCCCTAATCAATTGATGTCACCTAAATTAACAGCTATTGCTGAAATGCATAATGTTGACAAACCGAGCGAAAGTAAAGGGACTGTTAATGTTCTAAACAAAGAGTCAAATGAAATAACAAACCCAAATTTATTAGTAATAGATAACGTTACAGAGACTATTAATAAATCAAATATTAATAACCAAAACCAAATAGCAGCGACAGAAAATAACAAAAAATATGATTTTAATTTTGACAATGCTAAATGCGATAGCGAAATGACACCTCCTAAATTAAAAGAAATTCTCAATTGGCCCCAGACACCACAACGTAAAGGGAAAATTATGACCCACAATCCCATTTATGTCTTGACTAGCCGCAAATGGCTTGAAATCGAGGAAAAGAAAAAAAATGAGAAGAAAACAAAAGAAAAAGAGAAAAAAACAAAAGAAAAAGAGAAAGAAGAACGTAAAAAAGAGAAGAGAAAAGAAAACAGACAGTAAAAAGCGTCACAAAAATATCAAAGCATACCAAAATTATGAAAATCGATTCGGAAAACTTAGAAAACATTGAAATATTAAGACAAGAAGAAAAAGTTCCTAGACATCTATTAAATAAAAACTCAAAAATTGAAGAAAATAACAGAAAAAATAAAGAGGAAACAAAAACCGAAATAAAAGAACGAAAAAGAAAATATGATAAATCAATAACCACTGCATACAATAAAAAAATTAAAATAGATGTATGTGATAAAGAGACTGAGAACAATATTTTTAAGTGTGATGATACCAAGACTGAGTTATTAGATATAGACCAGATTAAAAAAACTACTCCAAAGCCTAATAAAGAAAGTAACATTAAAATTTTGTCTGTTGTGAAGGTTGTTAATTAGATGCCAAAATGATTATGGTTGTGATTTATTTCCCAGGTTCTTAAGAACACAATTGACAGCAAATGTTATATGCTTATGGACCTTATTTAGGTATAAGAAAAATTCAATGATCACCTTAAAGGGCCAATCATTGTACTCCCTATATACATTTCAAACGCAATGTTATTCTGTATATCTGTCCCTTAGTGAAATTGAAAGGACATAGTATAGTTATTATGCCAGAAATCATACTTGAAGGGGGTCAAATGAAAGGGGGATGAAAGTTTGTATGGGGAGCCAGTTTTTCCACGCAGACGAAATCGCGGGTACCCACTAGTATTGTATATAAATGTGCGCCGTTTATAATTTGATCTCACTATTTTTATTTATACATTTTTTAGCTTTATTTTGAAATGTACCACCCATTAAACAGGTGCAAATAAATCCTTATTCAAATTTAATCTTCCTAAAATTTATTTTTTACCTAAATACCTAGTTAGTTACACTTTTTGTGTGTAAATATATATACACAGTTTTTTTTTTCACATACAGTGAGGCAGATGGAATCCAGACCAATGTTGAGCCTATTAGCAAAAAATCGAGGCAGGACTCAACAGCGTCGTCAAGTCGCTCAATAATGTCGATGTCACAATATGTAGTGAAAACATCAGAACAGTAAAAGCATAACACGACACTCTGAGCATCCAGAATTTGTCAGTTTGATGCAATTAGCTCGACCAGGCTATGTACCACCTGAAAGAAAAAAATTGGCGGAAATTTGCTAGACGAAGTGTATGGTACCGTAAAACCAAATGTAGAAAACAATTTGAAAGGAAAAGTGGTTTGTATGGCACTGGATGGTTGGAGTAATATACGCAATGAACCTATTGTATGTATTAGTGTAACCACTAGTGAGGATGATGGTAAAATTTTTCTCATAGATACAATAGATACTAGTGACAAAAGTCACACTGGTGATTATATTTTGACTCTGGCAGTCGACAGCATTAAAAAGTGTCAAAGATTTGGTTGCCATGTGCGTAGCTTTCTAACAGATAACGCTGCCAATATGGCAAAGATGAGAAGACAATTGACGGAATTGGAAGATAAGTGAGATAGGCGATATTATCACATATGGTTGCTCTGCTCATTTATTGAATTTATTCGCCAAAGACATTGAACAAGTGGACATTAAAAATAAGATAAAAAAAATTATAAAGTACTTCAAGTATCATCATTTTCCTGGAGCAAAGTACAGGGAAGCTGGTGGAAACGCGCTTATACTACCTCAAGATGTGCGTTGGAATACATTAGCAGACTGTCTCGAGTCATATGTCAGTAATTGGCATTGTCTTGCTAAAGTATGCAGCGAAAACAGGTCTGTAATAGAAATAATAATCGTAAGGGATATTCAAGATGTTGAACTAAAAGAAAATGTTGAGAACTATCTTCATCATCATCATCATCATCATTACAGCCCTTCACAAGTCCACTGCTGAACATAGGCCTCCCCCAAGCAATGCCACAAAGCACGGTCCTGAGCCACCTGCATCCATCGAATTCCTGCATGTCTTACCAGGTCATCACTCCATCTAGTGGGGGGTCGCCCTACACTACGCCTACCGGTACGAGGCTGCCACTCGAGAACCTTTCTTCCCCATCGGTTATCGGTTCTTCGAGCTATATGGCCGGCCCATTGCCATTTCAGCTTACTAATCCGTTGGGCTATGTCTGTCACTCTGGTTTCACTGCGGATATCCTCATTTCTGAGTCTACCACGCAGAGAAACTCCGAGCATAGCCCTCTCCATAGCTCGCTGAGCGACCTTGAGCGTCCTCATACGGCCAGCAGTGAAGGACCACGTCTCTGATCCGTAAGTCATCACTGGCAACACGCACTGGTTGTACACTTTAGTTTTCAGAGATTGAGGTATACCTGACGAGAAGATGTGTCGTAATTTCCCGAACGCTGCCCAGCCGAGTTGAATCCGTCGATTGACCTCTCGGTCGAAGTTGGACTTACCTAGTCGGACTATTTGTCCCAGATAAACGTACTCGTCAACAACTTCGAGCATAGTGCTCCCAACAACTACCGGCATAGGTGTGACATGGACATTAAACATGATCTTTGTTTTGTCCATGTTCATCTTAAGACCTATCCGTTGGGATACACCATTGAGGTCATTGAGCATAGTGCTAAGGTTCTCCAGCTTTTCCGTCATAAGGACTATATCGTCGGCAAATCGAAGGTGAGTGATGTACTCGCCATTGATGTTAATACCGTATCCTTTCCAGTCCAGTAGCTTGAAAACGTCTTCCAACGCAGCGGGGGAGACGCAGGGGGGGAGTTTCGGGGATATAACGTCACCCTGTCTTACACCTCTCTGCAGTTGGATAGGTTTCGAACTCTGGTTCTGTACTCGGATAGCCATCGTAGCCCTACTGTACAAACACTTCAGCACTTCGATATACCGACAGTCAACTTAACACCGCTGTAGGGACTGTAGCACCGCCCAAATTTCAACGGAATCAAAGGCTTTCTCATAGTCCACATACCCCAGGCAAAGTGGCAGATTGTACTCTTCGGTCTTCTGTACAATCTGCCGCAGGGTATGTATGTGGTCTATGGTACTGAAGCCTTTTCGGAAACCGGCTTGTTCGGGAGGCTGGAAGTCGTCGAGTCTGCGTGCGAGACGATTCGTAATGACTCTCGAAAACAGCACGTAGACGCGGCTCAGAAGGGAAATCGGTCTGTAGTTCTTCAAGAGAGCGTTGTCGCCTTTCTTAAAGAACAAGACCACCGCACTTCTGCTCCACGCCTCCGGAGTAGTGCCACCATGGAGGACGGAATTGAAGAGCTTCTGAAGGACTTTAAGTACCGGTGTTCCACCCGCTTTCAAAAGCTCCGCTGTAATTCCATCCTCGCCTGGGGCCCTGTCGTTTTTAAGGTGCTGGAGAGCCATTCTAATCTCGCTCAGAATGACGTCCGGGATATCATCGGAATAGTGTCGGGTAAGACTTGCTCTTGGATCGTTACTCACACTTGTGTGTGGTTCCAACGCCCATAGAACAGAACACAGATGTGTACAGCTGCCCATAGAACCTCTCAATCTCACTCAAAATCTCAGGTGTCTCGAAAACAATGCTGCCACACTCAGTCTTCAGCTTTGACTTTGGAGCCCTGGTTCCGCTCGATCGCTTCTTTAATACGAGCGGTATTAAAGTTGCGTAAGTCTCGCCGCATGCATTTGGAGATCTGTCTGTTCAGTTGCCTGTATGCTGTCAAATCTGTTGACGATTGCAGCCTCATCTCCCGTCTAACAGCCATGAGATTAAGAGTGTGATCGGAGAGTTTTTGTGTTCTTCTGCGGCGGGTCTTGCAGAACTTAGCTCCGACCGCATGGACAGTTTCCACGAGCTTGTCATTCATATCGTCCACTGCATTACAATCTTCTAGACACTGAAAGCGGTTACGTAACTCGAGCTGAAAAGTCTCGGGATTCTGGATTAGAGCACGAGGGGGACGGAGCGTTGACTTCATTAGACGAGACCTCTCCAACTTAACGTTAAGGTTCAGTGTGCCTCTAACCATTCGGTGATCGCTGCCGGTCTTCACCCTTGCGATCACTGAGACATCACTGAACAGTTGGCGTCTGGTCGTCATAATGAAGTCGATCTCATTTTTTGTCGAACCGTCGGAGCTCGACCAGGTCCACTTCCTGTGGGGCCGCTTCTGGAAGAAAGAGTTCATCATAAAGAGTCCCTCTTTCTCCATAAAGTCAGCCAGCTGCTGGCCCCTACGGTTCCGTTGCCCTACTTCAAATTTCCCTAACTTCAGCTCACCGCCTTCTCTTGTGCCTAGTTTTGCGTTGAAGTCTCCCATCAACACCGTGTAGTGGGTTTTGGAGGAATGCATGGCTCTAGAAATATCCTCATACATTTCCTCCACCTCCTCATCGGGATGTGCCGAGGTTGGTGCGTAGACCTGTATGACCTTCAGCGAATACCGTTTGGTGATTCTGAGTATCAGGTACGCGACCCTCGTCGACACACTCCCAATCTTTACAACGTTGTTGACGAGAGACTTGTGGAAGATAAATCCGACACCTCCTTGGGACAGATGGTCGCCCTCCCGGTGATAGAACAAGTTGCCGGACTCGAGGATTACCGTGTCCTCCCCCTCTCTTCGGACCTCAGATAATCCAATAATATCCAGCGCAACTTGTCTACCTCTTCTTCCAGCTCCAGTATCTTCTCGTCAGTCCTCAGGGTGCGTGCGTTATACCTTGCCAGGTCGAGTTGTCGTAGGTGGCAACCGAACCTCCACCGGAGATTCTTAGCACCCCCTGCCCCGCCGTTACCATGGTCGCCACCGTAGCCAGGGATAGCGGGGCCGCCGGGGACTAGGGGCCGTTTATTTGCGTCGTTGCTCATGGGGGGATATTTGCCATAGTTGCCACGCTAGGCGAGCGGGTTGGCAACCGCAGTTTTTTATTATGTTATTGTTGTTATTAGGAAGATGCTGCTGCCTATCTCCTGCCTGTTTCCCTCTGTTGCCTCTTACGACACCCACGGGAAGATATGGGGTAGTGGATATTCTCAACCGCCACTACACGGCACTATCTTAGAAAAC